TTCCAAGGTTACTGTGGGTAATACACTAAGACGTCATAGTTTAAAATCACGCATGGCACGGAAGGTTCCCCTGCTTAAATCAGCACACGTCCAGGCCCGTCTTAAGTTTGACCATGACCATTTGGATGATCCAGAGGAGTCATGGGAGAAAGTTATGTGGTCAGATGAGACCAAAGTAGAACTTTTTGGTCTTAATTCCACTCGCCGTGTTTGGAGGACGAAGAATGATGAGTACCATCCCAAAAACACCATCCCTACTGTGAAGCATGAGGGTGGAAGCATCATGCTTTGGGGTGTTTTTCTGCACATGGGACAGGACAACTGCACTGTATTAAGGAGAGGATGACCGGGGCCATGTATTGCGAGATTTTGGGGAACAACCTCCTTCCCTCAGAGCATTGAAGATGGGTCGTAGCTGGGTCTTCTAACATGACAATGACCTGAAGCACACAGCCAGGGTCACCAAGGAGTGGCCCCATAAGAAGCATATCAAGGTTCTGGAGTGGCCTAGCCAGTCTCCAGACCTAAACCCTATAGAAAATCTTTGGAGGGAGCTCAAACTCTTTTTTTCTCAGTGACAGCCCAGAAACCTGGTTGATCTAGAAAAGATCTGAGGAGGAATGGGCCAAAATCTCTGCTGCAGTGTGTGCACACCTGGTGAAAAACTACAGGAAACGTTTGACCTCTGTCATTGCAAACAAAGGCTACTGTACCAAATATTAACATTGATTTTCACAGGTGTTCAAATACTTATTTGCAGCAGTAACACACAAATAAATTATTTTAAAAATCATACATTGCTATTTCCAGGATTTTTTTTTTAAAGATTATGTCTCTCACAGTGGACATGCACCTAAGATGAACACTTCAGACCCCTCCATGATTTTCAAGTGGGATATATATATATATATATATATAAATATATAAATTTATTCATTTCATATTTATTCCTAAACCTTTTCCGTTCACCCTTTAATGTGAGAAAATCAAAGGTAGGCCAACGTGTCAGTCACAGTGATTCTTATTTAGTTTATTGAAATCCAATGTTTAGCAATGGGGGACACTTTTGTTTTTCTTGCACTGCTGCTTGAATCTGACTGAAAACAACAACAACAACAAATGCAGATGTTGTAACATTAGAAGTGTCTGTTCAAGATTAGTTTTTTAGGATCATAAAAAGGCTATAAAAAATGTTTTAATTATTTTTCAATGCAGAAAATAAAACAAAATTGCCGATTGTTGTTAGGCATTAATTTACATTTCCGGAGATGTCTTAGTTAAAGAAGTTTTAGTTTTCATAATTTCCTCTCATTCCCCTTCAAACTTAAGATGAGAATTATTTATGTCTCTGTCTGTTTTCCTCAGCTCAAATAAACTTTAATAAATTAAACTAATTTGAAAATCTGTCATCGTCTAACATCAAAATTATTTGGTACCACCGTGATAAACCCTTGGGAAAACTCAGCACCTTGTGGTCCAACGTGTCAGGAGAGACGGGCTTCTAAAGTTTATGTTCATTAACTTATTAATTCATTTCACCAAGAATTTACAGGAAGTAATACAGGAAGAAATACAGGAAGGATCTCAGGCTAAGATAATAAAAGACCTGAAAGATCTGGAAAGACTAAAATAAGCTCAGGAAATGATAGATGATAAATCATTGACACAACTTCACAAGCAATAAATAATCAAAATATAAAACAAACAAATACATTATAATATGGCAACATACGAAGACTTAGAGTTTAAAATATACAATGTTGAAGATGCGATTGATACAAATTTTTTCCCTGAAATACAAGACTGTGAATATTATAATGAAGAACAGTTTAATGACATCAATATAACTAATGGAGGTCTCTCTATTATTCACTTTAACAGTAGAAGTTTAAATGCAAATATATCCAAAATAATAGATTATTTAAAACAGCTAAACAGAACCTTTACAATAATAGCACTGTCAGAGACGTGGCTCAACGATGAAAACACAACTTATGTTCACATGGAAGGGTATGAATTATATCATGTGAACAGAAGCAACAAAAGAGGTGGTGGAGTGGCTCTATTCGTTAAAAATGAAATAAAATGTAAATTAATTAATGAAATGTCAATAGTTGTTGATAATATCATGGAAATAATAACAATAGAAATAATAAACAAGAATGATAAAAACATATTAATAAGTTGTGTATATCGATCTCCAGGATCAAATATAGAAATATTCACTGATAAAATGGTACAACTATTGGACAAGAGTTTTAATAAAAACATTTTTTTGTGTGGAGACTTTAATATTGACCTGGGAAATAAAACAGATTCAAATAACATCAGTACATTTACAAATTCATTGTATAGTTTAAATCTTTATCCGTTAATATCAAAACCAACAAGAATTACAACTCATAGTGCTACAATAATCGATAATATTTTCACAAATGTAACAAATGGGGATGTGATGGGAGGTATTTTAATGAGTGATTTGAGTGATCACTTACCAGTTTTCATGATTTATAAAAATGATCAAAGCATTACAAAAGAAATTACAATTAAGGAAAAAACAATAAACACATCAAAAAAAGCAATGGACAAATTAAAAGATGATTTACATAAACAAAGCTGGAAAGACGTGTATGTTGATGATGTGAACAGATCATATGATGAGTTTATGAATATTTTAGGAGCTCTGTATGAAAAGAATTGTGTGCAAAATAATTGTACAAAGAGAAATGTTGTTGACCAACCATGGATGACGAAAGGGTTGAGAAATGCTTGTAAAAAAAAGAATTATTTGTATACATGTTTCTTGAAATTGAGAACACAAGAGGCTGAAGAGAAATATAAGAAGTATAAAAATAAATTAGTAGCGATTATAAGGAAACACAAGAAGGAATATTATAGTGATTTATTAAATAAAAGCAATGGTGATATGAAAGCAACATGGCAAGTAATAAATAGTGTTCTGAAAAGTCATAAAGCAAAAACAGGTATTTCACAATATTTTTTGAAGGATGACAATGAAATCCATGATGAAAATGAAATTGTAAATGGATTTAATCATCATTTTGTGAACGTTGGATCAAGCCTTGCTGCTAAAATACCAAAAGTAGACAATAATGTGAACCATTCAGTTATAAGTTGTGACAACAGTATTTTTCTTAATGGAACTGACAAAGAAGAAATAATGAATGTTGTAAAAAATCTTACAGATAAGAGATCAAAAGACTGGGTGGACATGGATATGATGTTTGTAAAGGACATAATGAGTTATGTTATCGAGCCGTTTACATATATTTGTAATTTATCATTTTCAAAAGGAATATTTCCAGACAATATGAAAGTAGCTAAGGTAGTTCCTCTCTTTAAAAATGGTGATAAATGTGTGTTCAATAATTATAGACCAATATCCTTATTACCACAATTCTCAAAAATTCTAGAAAAACTGTTTGTGACCAGATTAGATAAATTTATTACTAAACAAAACATTCTAAGTAGCAGTCAGTATGGGTTTAGAGCAAAAAACTCTACATCAATGGCTCTCATGGAAATAATAGAACAAATAACTACTGCTGTCGATCAAAAACAGTATTGTGTTAGTATTTTTGTTGATTTAAAAAAAGCATTTGATACTATTGACCACACTATTCTCCTTGAAAAATTAAATAAATATGGTATAAGAGGACCAGCATTACACTGGGTATCTAGCTATTTAAAAGATAGGAAACAGTTTGTACAAATAAATGGTGTAAGATCTGACTTGTGCAATATCACTTGTGGAGTTCCTCAAGGCTCTGTACTTGGACCAAAGTTATTTATTTTATATGTGAATGACTTAGTGAATGTATCAGGACTCCTCAAATGTGTCCTTTTTGCAGATGACACCACATTTTTTTGTTTGGGTAAAGATGTAAAACGGATGTTGGAACTGATGAAGACAGAATTTGATAAAATACAAACTTGGTTTAAAATTAATAAATTATCATTAAATTTAGATAAAACTAAATACATGATATTTAGTAACAAAAAGAAAACTGTTGACGATCCATTTAAAATTGAGGGTGTTGAGATTTGTAGAGTTAATGAGATGAAATTTTTGGGTGTAATCATTGATGAACAGCTCACATGGAAAAATCACATAAATTCTGTAAGAACAAAAATATCTAAATCTATTGCAGTACTATACAAAGTCAGGGAATTATTAAATGATAAAGCTCTGTACATGTTGTATAACACAATCATTGTTCCACATTTAATCTATTGCATTGATGTTTGGGGGAAAGCGTGTAAAACATTTACAAAACCTATTTTTATCTTACAGAAAAGAGCTGTAAGAATCATCACCAGAAAGCATTACAGTCACCCATCAAGCACATTATTTTATCAACTGAAGTTACTGAAGTTTCATGATTTGGTAGATTATAGTATTTTATCAGTTATGTATAGGGCTCAAAATAACACATTACCATTAAATATCCAAAGAAATTTTGTTAAAAGACAAAGTTGTTACAATCTTAAGGGGATAGAAATATTTGTCAAACCAAAATTCAGAACTAGTCTGAAGGGAAGGTCTACCTCAATCCAAGGAGTTGGATTGTGGAATGGTCTAGAGAATGATGTAAAAAATGTCAAGTCAATGTGTACATTTAAGAAAAAGATCAAATCTAGATTGTTAAAAAAGTATATATGAAGTAGCTTAGTGTGTGTTTTTTATTAGAATTAGAAAAATTAGAAAGTTATTCATTTTGTTCTGTTACTTGAAAATTAATATGTCTGAAATAATTGTTTGAAAAAAGGGGCAGATATAATAAGATTTTTTCTTCTTTCTGCTGCCTTTCATTTTAAATTTTTTTGTATCTTTTTATATATTGTTATGGAATTGTTTTGTACTTTTTTTAAAATGAATAAACTTCATACCATACCATACCAATTTCACCTTTAAATTGTAAAATGTTGACACAGCAGGGAGACATTTATCTACAAATACATGAAAAATGACAGAACAGTAAAACTTTCCACTGTATTTAATCCTTTGATAAAAGAAGTCAGACACAGATCGAGGCCATCGTTTGTTCATCTGTATTTCTCAGCCAGAGCCAGAGCCAGAGCTGACAGGAACTTGTCCATGGACACGTGGATCTCAGGGGTGAAGTCTTTGGGAAACATGATGGCCAAGACCACCAGGATGTTGTGGGAGAGAATCTGAAAAAGAAGTCAAAGCTTACAAATGATGAACTCGTGGACGTCGTTTAATTCAGTTTAACGGTGAGGCGTCAGTCTGTTGAAGTACCTTGAAGTTGGCAGGATCCACTCTCAGGGTGAAGGCGTGCAGCTCACTGAGGTTCAGGAGTCCACCTGCTAGATCATCCATTTTGCCCACAGCGTCGACGACTCCAGACATGATGGTCATTCCGTGCTCCCTGACCGGAGCAGAACCGGGGCTCAGGTCCTTCCAGTGGGCGAAGTAGGTCTTAGTTTGAGGGTAGACCAACAGCATCCTAAGGAGAACAGCAAACATATAAAATCTCTTTATAGAAAATTAAAGCATTGTAGTCGGTGTGAGTAGTTATAAATTGTACTTTACCTGGACAAAGCATCTGAACCAATATCCTCCACTTTATCGGCCGCTTTGGCCCAGAAGGCCTTGACTGTGTTCTTGTCTTTAGCGCTCAGACTCATCTCAGCTGGGTTGTGTTTGTCTTGGTTTGGTCTGGTCAGCACCAAGTTGAAGATGGTTTTATAGATGGAGCTGGACAAGGACACACCCTGGTCAACGTCATCGATCGCTGCACTCAGACGTGTTTCCACTGATAACTGATCTCATGAGATAAAACTTAAACGGTCCCCCGAAGATCTCCTGAACGAATTTACAAACAAAACAAAAACCCAAACAACTTTGCTAGATTTCCACTGTCAGTAACAATTTACTTAATTTAATCAGAGTCAATCAAAGGTTCATATTCCTCTGTCAGAGGGAAAGTCCAGTTGGAAAAGTGTTGCAGAAAGTTGTTAAAATTCAGAGAAAATCTTGTCAATGATCATTAAATCTTTTTATTTGATGCAACACTAAACTTCTTGGTATTCATTGAACTTTTAAATGGTAGAAATTCATGATAAAATAGTGACTTTTAATTAAAAACCTAAATGTAACAAGTAAGGAGGAAGACAGCAGGAGGAAAATGTTAATTAATCTCCAAAATTACCAGAAAATAACCAAATAAAACAAAATATAAATATAAAATGCCTATTTGTAAAATCTATTTCTACTATTATTTTTTTAATATTATTTAAAATAATATTTTCTTTTAAACGACACAAAATAATTTAACACTTACTGAAAGTACAAAACATTATTTTTTAATCTAAATGTACAATTCTTTAGCCGCGAGTTCTCCAGCATTCCTCCACCTGCACCAGCTGAGTGAAGCGAGCGGGCACGGGAGGACTCGCTGTTACAGTTCTTCTAAATTTAAAGTGTCAGTCAAAAATTGCGTTATGAATATAGAAAAAAAAAGTATATAAGTCGCTTCGGCATATTAGTCGCAGGCCTGACAAATCTATGCAAAAAGCTGTGACTTATACGCCAGAAAATAAGGAGCTTCCCAACTCGATCTGGTGAGGACATCAACACAACACTGAGTCTGGACATGATATAAAAGCTGATGCATTTGCAGTGTTAGTAAATGTCTTAATCTGATTAATCCTGCTTCGTGAAGGACCCCACTCACCCAGCACACACACTTTTTGCCCCGCTCCCCTCAGGAAGGAGGTTCAGGAGCATTAAGTGCAGAACCACTAGACTGAGGAACAGCTTCTACCCTGAGGCTGTTAGACTCATGAATCTCTAATTAGAATAATCCCTGAAAAATCACATCATGTTGCTGCTGATCGGTTTCATGTTGCTGCTGATCTGTTTCATGTTGATGTGTTCATGCGTGCTCATCTTCGCACACAGACTCATGTTCGTGCTGCTGTTCGGCGTAATGTTTTAATGCTACTAGTGCTTAGTGTATATTTAGTTAATGTTTTTCTTAGTTCATATCTTAGATCTTATTACTGTTTTTCTTTTACGTTTTATTGTTGGATGTAACTGGGACCCTGTGTACATAATTTTGTTCCACCACATGTACCACATGGGGTGCGAATGACAAAGAACCTTGAATCCCTCGAACTAAACATCTCTCAACCAAATTCCAAAGTAAAGAATTTATCAAACTGTTAAACTTTATCTAAATCGTTGCTCGTATGAAGCTAGTTATATTTTGGCCAAATAATATTTTTTTTAGATAAAAGATTAATCCTTATTGCTTAATTAAATCTGTATTCATTCAACAAACACGTCTTTAAATTTGTTATACAAATTCCTATTCTTATTTTTCATGTTTCTAATTTGATTCATTACTTTTAAACTTCAAAGACAAATTTGGTCTCCTCATTTAGATGAATATTCACTTGTTCTGGTAAAGTATATGGATGGTATGATAAACATATGAATTCTCTATGATTAATGGATTCATCGGTTCTGATTATTAAAAGGTGAATACATTAATGAAGCTGTTGCTGGTCAGTAAAATGAGCGGCTGGAGTGCAAAACAAGTAAATAAGTGTAATAAAGTGATGAGAAAGTGTCGCCCTTTCTCCAACCACTCATACACGCTACAGTAAAATCCTGCACATGATGATCACAAAACGTTGAACATAAATCTTTTATTTTTAATAAAAAAAACTTGTGTGCATTTAATAATAAGTTATTGTCAACACAACTTAAAAAAAAAAGACAATTAATGTATTCTATTGACAAAAACTAAACAATTAAAATACTTTTAGTGGTTTTAGTGCTGGCAGCCCAAATTTTTAGATATTCTTTTCACGACTGAAATCTTTTTCCACATGCAGTATTTTGTTTTTTCAAAAAATCGTGCGCTTTAAAAACAATTCAAGCAGCGAACGTGGCCTCTCCTTATCGGGTTTTCAAATCCACAATACTGATAAAGGCCAGCTCCACCCGTCTGATAACTCTGGGAGGAGCAGAACTGCTGGTACATAAAACGGGCCTGCCGGTCCTTCTGACCAGACGAGTGAAACCAACCAAGAATCAGGCAAAATGGTCAAATGGTCTGACTTCGAGCGCGCCACCATCGCGGACATCTTCTCCAAGATTGACACTGGGGCCGTGGGCTGTGCAGCTCTCTCCAGGTTAGATTTATTTTCTCTTCTTCCGTAACATAAATCCAAAATTGCGTGCGTTTCTGGAAGTAACACTTTTTGTGTGTGTTCCCTCAGGTGTCTGACTGTCTACCCCTGGACTCAGAGATATTTTAGTAAATTTGGAAACCTCTCCAGTCCTGATGCGATAGCGTCAAATCCCAAAGTGGCAGCTCATGGAAAAGTTGTCATGGGTGGTTTCGAAAAAGCTGCGAAGAACCTGGATGACATCAAGAACTCATTCAGAGACCTGAGTGTGCTGCACTCCGAGAAGCTGCAAGTAGACCCTGATAACTTCAAGGTAAATCCATGTGCAACGTATGGAAAACCAGTGACTACAACTGTTGTTTCCACTTCCTGATGCACCGTCTTTTTTATTTATTTGCAGCTCCTTGCCGACTGCGTAACCATTGTGGTCGCTGGTCAGCTGGGTAAGGCCTTCACTTCTGAGGTCCATGCAGCATTTGAGAAGTTCCTGGCTGTGGTGGTGTCCTCCCTGAGAAAGCAGTACTACTAGAGAGCTCTCTGCAGTGGACACTCACAATGCTCTGCTTTAAAAAAAAAAAAAAAAAAAGGCAAAGAGTTAATAAAATATGAGCTTTTTCAAGACGTTGTTTGGCTGTTTTTGTTTCTATTTTGGCACAATTTTAAATGGCAAAGAAAATCTTTGACGTGTAAAATAATAAAGCTCTGAATTGATCTTATAACAAATATGTTGGAGAAAATCTTTCTCACTTACGTTGTTTACCCAAAAGAACCACACTCAATACAAGAAAAAATTTTTTAACATGCATTTTACTTGCAAGGACCCATTCAAGACAGATTACATGCATAAATATGTCACAGGATGAGCGTCGAATAGTCATCTGCAAACTTTTGTTACAGTAGCAGAGTCCAGTGGGCGTTCCCTCATGGCCAGCCACAGTCAAACGCCTACACATGATCAATGGCCGTCGGCGAGTCGGCCTCCAGATGGAGATAAGAGAACGTTTTGAGCATGGTCTCATGGCGACAACACTAAGGAGGCAACAAATCAGCCTCCAGGTTGAGATAAGAGAGGGTTTCAGGAGACAATTTGGTTGTTTGTTCTCAGAGGACGAATGCACATTTACAACATTTGACCAAAAATTCTCTGACAGTACACAGCCTGCTAGTCGGCGTGGCTAACTAGGTTTAAGATGATGATTGTTTAACCTCATCAACATCAAACAGAAAGACAAATTACGCAGAATAATTAAACAATCAAGTGTAATAATTGGCTCACCTCAGTGCCCTCTATCAGACATCTACAGCTGCTCAGTGAGCAAGAAAGCCACCCTGATCACCGAGGACGCCTCACATCCACTACACAACTGCTTCCAGATGCTTCCATCAGGCATTGTACCGAGTCCTGCTGGTCAGGAAGAATATGTATAAGAAATAATTTGTACCATCTGCAGTAATGTCCTTTAAACAAAGCTAAATAGACACATATGTGAACTAATGGTGATAATGTGGTTTTTATTACCGGTATGTTTTATTGTTGGTACGTGTGTATGTATGATAAATGTAGAGCGTGTCAAAGGAGAATAATATTGCACGTCCCACTTTTCAGTTTTTTATTTGTTCAAAAAGTTCGACACATCCAGTAAATTTCATTCCACTTCACGATTGTGTCCCACTTGTTGTGGATTCTTCACAAAAAAAATTAAAATTTTATATCTTTATGTTTGAAGCCTGAAATGTGGCAAAAGGTTGAAAAGTTCAAGGGGGCCGAATACTTTCGCAAGGCACTGTATAACAACTATTAAAAGTGGCATTTCTGATTTCCATTTTGGATGCAAAAGACTGAAGGACAAGGACTCAAAGGAATCATAACTGGTTTAGAATCAATCAATAATCCTTGAAAGATAACAGCTACTTCTCCACCTCGACCGGTTGTTCACGGAACATGGAAACTTTAATAATTAGGTGGAGTGGATTCATTCATACTAACAAATCCTCCTGTTGCAGCCAGGTTTCTGTCAGACAAAATAAATCAGTATATGATGATATCAGCTATCAGATCATTAACTAACAGGGACTTAGAGGAAAGAAATCAATTAGCCACATTTAATGATTTTATTCTTTTGTTCTGGTAAAGTAACTGCATCTATTTTAATACGACTTTTATGAGTTATATTTTTAGAGCTGATATTGGGTATATTTAATTTGGGCCATGGGCGAGCTGGCACTGTTTCAATAGGGTTTGGGTGGTAACAGAACCAACGGTAACAGGCTGTGGTAACCTGTGATTTCTAATTGGGACAAGGCTTAAACAATCACACACGCCCATAAATAGCTGAGTAAAGTTGTGGGTAATTGTGGTACAGTGTCAGCTCTGGAGCTGTTGAAGGACATCACAGTTCCCGCACTAGTACTGAAGTTAAAGTTAGTATACTGCTGCTGTGGCTGAGTGGTTAGATCTTTCATCCTCCAAAAGGAGTGTTAGGTGTTCGATTCCACCAGCAGTCACCTGTTGAAGTGTCCCTGGGCAAGACACCAAACCCCTCTGATGCTTGTCCCATCAGTGTTTGAATGTGATCTAAAAGCACCGATTAGTTTTTACAGATTCAGATTAACTTTGCAGAGATCTAGTAGAGTGGTGTATGAATGTGTGTGTGGAGGTAAAAGAGGGCACAGATTGTGGTGTAAAGCACTTTGAGCATCTATAGAAGTACAGTCCATTCACCATTTATTCTCATGTCAGCTTAAACTCCTCCTGGTGTCCAACCATTGCAGTTTCTGTTTCAACTCAATTATTTGACAAGAAAAATAAAGTTGGAATTGGAAACATTTTACTTGCAGTTAATAATTTATTATCATGGGGTAACTCAAGTTAGCGGAAAAATGAAACAGACTAATGACATGAGTGATCTGCTTCACAGAAAAAAGACTGACATGAAATTTATTCACACCAAAGAGAAAACCCTACCTAACCCTAACCTATGGTGTTTTTATGTGCATTCAGTTACAACACTTTATGCATTTTAACAAATAAATACATGATTGTTTAAAAATGTATTCAGATCAAACTTGTTTTAAATATTTCAACTCTTCAAGCAGTAAACTGGATATTGGATGTTTGAGCCTTAACTTTACTTCAGTTCAGTTATGACTAATCCACCCATCCATTATCTTTACCCACTTCTTCCTTTTCAGGTCATGTGGGTCACTGGTGCCCATATCCAGCAGTCACTGTACAGGCGGGGGACACCCTGGACAGGTCACAAGTCCATCACAGGGACACATAGAGACAAACGAGACAAACAACCATTCAGTCTCTCGTGCACACCTAGGGACAATTTAGAGTTACCAATCAGCCTAACATGCATGTTTTTGGTCTGTGGGAGGAAACCGGAGCACCCGGAGAAAACCCACGCATGCACGGAGAGAACATGCTAACTCCACCCAGAAAGGCTCCGAGTTGGGATTTGAACCCGGGGTGACCTGCTTGCTCAGAGGCAGCAGCTCTACCAACTGCGCCACAGTGCTGCCTCTTTTTAATTTTTTTATTATTTATTTATCGGAGACTTTGCTTTTTTTGTTTTTTGTTGGTCCTTTTAAATTATTAAAATGTTTTTTTTTTAATGTACTTGTGGTTTTATTTGCAGTTTGAAATAAAGTATCCATGTCTCTCCTTTTAATTGGTCAAACCCTCCTCAAAAAAACTTTCTTTATCTCATCTTTGAAAAAACTTTCAACTTAATTTTACACCTAGTTTGGTCACATTCTAAAAATTAAAAAAAAAGTTTTAATAATGTTTAATCATGACTCTTAAGTATTTTTTTTTAAACAAAAATAAGGGATTTTTTTGTTGTATCAAAACAATAATGTGAGACACTAAAGCAAATACTGCTAAATAAATCCAACTTGTCCTTGGGCTGAATTAAGACTTTCCTTATTTAAAATGTGTATTAGGACATAAGAGCTGTTTTAATCCAAGTTGTTAAATAAATAGAAATAAATGCAATTTAAAAAGCTACTTTGCCTCTTTAAGCCACTGAATTCATAATGAACCAGGTGAGGACAAAGCTTCAATTAATTATACTTTCATTATTTAAAGTTACTTTTTAAATTTAATCAACCAATTTTAGTGGAACCAGTTGATGAAATAAAGCCAACATTTCATTTCTTAAAGCATTTTTAGATTATTACACAATGTTGCCTTCTTTAACATCAGCTCAGAACATGTTGTCATTTCTTATTAATATATTAGTTATTTTTGTTTCATTCTATTTAGATTTTTTTTTAATGTTGTTGCATTTTGTTTTTTTTCTAGTGAGTTGCTGTTGTCTTCTTTTGACCATTTACATAATTTTCTTAGTGTTTTTATTTTATTTTTATTATATTCTATAATATTGAAGACCTGTTTACGTGCAAAAAGGCTTTGAACAGAAAGTAAGGTTTCATTATTGACCACGAGAAGATGAAGGCAAAGAAGAAGAAACACACATTTATTGGACATTTAATATTTATTGGCTTTATTCACCAAACCCTCTGGTTTAAAGGTGGTGCTGAAATGAATTTGGGACGACACTCAGAGTGGTATGCAGTCGATCCTCCATCAAGTCTGGGTCTGTTTAGCGGTATCTCTCAGCCAGAGCCTGGGCCAGGTTCTGCAGGAACTTGTCAACGGAGACGTGGACCTCAGGGGTGAAGTCAGCAGGGAAGTACATGGCCATAACCAGGATGAGGTTATGGGCGAGGATCTGTCATGGGACACATCAAAATTAAAAAAAACTTGCATGTATAGCCTTAAATATATTATTATTATTATTACTATTATTACTGATAAAATGAGGGTTAATCTGTCTTACCCTGAAGTTAGCAGGGTCCACTCGGAGCTTGAAGGCATGCAGTTCACTCAGTTTGGACAAGGCACCAGTGAGGTCATCGATACTTGCCACAGCATCTCCAACAGCAGCCATGATGGTGGCTCCATGCTTCTTCACCTGAGGAGAGCTGGGGCTCAGATCGGACCAGTGAGAAAAGTAGGTCTTGGTTTGAGGGTATGCAGTCAGCATCCTGGAAAGCACAGATATGAAGAAGTCATTACACATAAACAAGTTGGATTGCTGTTATTTGTTTTTACGTATTATTAAAATAATAAGTGATCATTGAACATACCTGCCCAGAGCTTCACCTCCAATGTCAGCAGATTTTGGGGCGACTTTGTCCCAGAAAGCCTTCACCACACTCTTGTCCTTTCCAGAGAGACTCATGTTTGCCTTTTCTTCAAGTTTCCTCAAACTATGAAAGATCTTGTGAGGAGGATTTATAACTGACTTTGTTTTATATGGAGCCAAACTGCACCACACCCAGCATTACATCTAAGCCCCGCCTCCTTTGATAGAAATTTCCAGAAGCTTTCTTTAATTCTTGAGATAAAAGTAGCCCCTCCCTGCCCTCAAGACTTTTTAAAAAAATCATTAATGTAACTTTAATAAAAACCTTAGCTCTTACTTTTTTAATGGAAGTGATATTTATTACTAAAACGGCCCATTTTAGCATGTGTGACATGCTCTGCTGGATGATTATTATAAATATTATTAATGGAGAAAATATAGATGGGTTTACATGGGCTGGCTTATAATCTCACAAACCCAATATTTTATCAATTAAATTATTAAAAATGAAGTCACACGCACAGATAAACAAATACAGAAGGTTTTTGATTAAATAATGGCAAATAGAGTGTCAAAATCCAATTACTATCATATGTTTCAGACAAACAATGCTTGCAGCTGAAATTATAATATATATCAAAATAATAAGTTGCAGATATGGTCAGTGTTGCATCGTTTGGACACAGTTACAGGGCTTATGTGCTATTATAAATTGACAAACTGTCAAGAAATACCAATTTTATAAAGATTTTGCAGTTTTTTATTATTTTTATTTTATCCCAATCACTGTAGAGTTCAATTATTAGATAGACAACAGGTGAGTCATTGAGACTACCTTTATAAATAAAGGTTACATTAAATGTGAACAATTAAACGGACTACAACTTTATATTAACAGACCAGTATTGCATAATTGAGACAACACTGTTTCCTCTACAGACAGGATGTTTTTTGTTGTTGTTGTGTGTTTTCATCTTTTGAGATGAACGACCTCTTACTGATGCGATAAATAAAAATAAGTTACTAAAGACATTAAACACTTTCACTGAACATTACAACGACTCTTACAAAATGTGCATTTAGATATAAAAGGGTGTGGCCATCTGAAAATAATGATAACTCTGAATAAAAAGAAATTGAGGCAGCTTGCAGGGCGATGGCTCCTTATCGCTTTTATTAGAGCAGCTTCTTTTTTTGATAAACCTCGAACGTTTCTCGGCCTGCACCTCGTTACATTTTAAAGTGTTTAAACAACTTTCCAGACATTGTCCCAAACTGTTTCACATCAAGCTGATAGAGAATTTGGCATTTTCCACATGGCTTGAATTTGCTTTAAATTAAATAAAATACAATTTATTCGCACTTTTTTCTCCAATTTTGGCTAAAACTTTATCTGCAGAGTGATTTTGACTTTTTGGCAAAACATCTGCCATGAAAAATAAATCAGTATGAGCTTTTTTTTTTAAATTTTGCATTGTTTTCATTTTAATGTCTAAAAATACATTTTATTGGTTGTTTTTGCTGTGAGATTTTTGTTAAACATTTCTAAACAAGTAAGGCTGATTGAGACAACATAAACTCTAATACACAATTATTTAGTTTCTGTATTTTAAACAATCTTTACAATATTGTTACACAAGAAACTGATTAAACGCACATCAGATTGTGTTTATCATCTCAAAACTGACAAACTTCCTTGTAATATTTTAGCACATTTTGTACACCTGATTCCTCCATACTTTGATCATTGCTGTTATGCTTGGGCATATTTTATGCTTTAGCATATTTTGCACATTGATTCAGTTGTGTGTACATAACTCGGTTTTGTGTGTTTGTTTTGTTGTGAACCTCCTGCACCGAGTAGTTTTTGTGTAAACTTCTCCATAAACGTGTTTATGATTCTAAGTGTTCTTTATCTTTAAATAGTCACCTGTGCTGTGACTATAAGTTTACATCCAATACGAAGTCTACTTTTTGTCATTTTGAAATCATTTTTATCGTCAAAGTGCTCCGTAGCCAATTTTGAAAAATAACAAGATGCTTTTTAAAATGTTTCATCCCTTTCCTGTTGTACGTTTGTCCTAATGAGCTGTTTTCTTCAGTGCTCAGGTCAACTGTTATATTATTATTATCTTATCGTGCTCCAAAATCCATACTTGAGTTTATTTGTTATAGACATACGTTAAACATTCCCCTGATAAACCCTTAAATCAAACGTTTTAATCCAATCCAACTTTATTTATAAAGCACTTTAAAAAACAAACAGGACCAAAGTGCTGTACAGACAAGTTAAAAAGCACAAAAGGAATAAAATACAATTTTTTTTTTTTTATTAAAATGACATGAACAGCTATGCAATTCTAAAACAAAACAATTAAAGTAGAATCAAATAAATAACTGCAATGACTTCAACATCTCACATGGTGTCAAATGTCTGGGACAAAAGATGAGTTTTAAGATGGGATTTAAAAGCAGACAGCGATGAGGCCTGACTGATGTGGAGAGGCAGACTTTCCATAGTTTAGGAGCTGATACAGCGAAGGCATGACTTTAATTCTTTAATGACTTAAATCAGTATCTGACCACCTTTAAACAACTGAAAATTAAATATAGTGTTCACTTTGTGTTTACTGTTGTGTCCTTGAACTCCGAGAGCCGCCAGTCGACTCACTTTGACGACCATTAAGACCATCAACCTCTGTGTTGTCTCCACAGCTGCGATAATGTTGGTTTTCTGCGTTTTTACCCATAAGCACAAAAAATAAAAATCAGTTTTTTTTCTGCTAACTTTCTGCTCTTTTAAATTGGAACATCATCAACTTGCGGCACTTTCAAAACCTGCTAAACAAAAATCTAATTTTTATTCCATAACATTCAAACTGGACATCTTTTATTTTCTTTTTAGCCTGAACTGCCTTTTAGTTTAACTGTATTTTATTATTGTGCTGCTTTTTTCTTTGTTTTTAATTAATTTTTAATTTATTTGCTTATTTCTGAACATTTTTTTTTGTGGACGGAAAATCGGTCAACTCCTGTTGTTTTTAAATAAATTTGACCAGTTTGGCTTGTGGTCGGCATCGCAGCAGGTCATAGTAAATAAATGGGATTAAACCCTTTCCCCATCTGGTGCTACATATCAAATCTACACTACATCCTTGGCTAAATGTCCTATTTTTTAAATGAAAACAGCTACACCTAAACAGTGGCACGTGTCAGTTTTACATAGAATAAAGATGCATTCTTTTTTTATACATAAAATAATACATTGTTAGATGCTCAATAGACAAAACCAATAACAGAACATGTCTAAGAACAGAACTGTAGACTGTGAATAACAGTGCTGATGAGTTTATTAGCTTTAATAAAACCTTTTTTATAGGGTGAACAGTTTGAAATCCATTGGTTTTCATCAAAAAGCTCTGAGAATTTATACATTTCAATATTATATATAGCTCTTGAAAATATTTTAATAATATTTTTGCCTTTAATATGATTTTGAAAAGAGGTAAAACGGTGAATATAAACAATGGACTTATGTCTTTCTGCAATATATAAAGCAAAAATATGTGTCCTAATTTTTATGTTTGACCTTTCGATCCAATAAGATCACATAGGTTTGTCAACCTTGATATATAAAGGCTATAAAACTATATATTTATTAATTTTTTCTTATCAGCCTTTTCCAGACGGTAATGATAATCATTCTGGGTATAACCCAACATTGCGCTGACTCTCCTCCAATCAGACGCCTCCTGGGCAGGGAGGAGTGGCGTTGTGAAATTAATAAAAAGCTCCCAGATTAGCCTTCTATAAAGTGTGCCATCAGAGACTCTTGAAAATCTTCTCTGTAGAATAAAAACCAACCCTAACACCGTCACCATGGTCGAGTGGACAGATGCTGAGCGCAGCGCCATCACCAGCCTGTGGGGAAAGATTGATGTGGGTGAGATTGGACCCCAGGCCCTTTCCAGGTGACCCTTACACAGATTTTAACTCGTGCATTTACTTTTCTCTTAAACACTTTTTATTTTTGCACGTTCACCATGCTCTTTTGAGAAAATAATTTAAAACGTTGTATTTTTTCTCCCACATCAGGCTTTTGGTTGTGTACCCCTGGACACAGAGGCACTTTGGATCATTCGGAAACCTCTCCACCTATGCTGCCATTACCGGAAACCCCAAAGTGGCCGCTCATGGAAAAGTAGTGATGGGTGGACTGGAAACCGCCGTGAAGAACCTGGACAACATCAAGAACGCCTACGCCAAGCTGAGCGTGATGCACTCCGAGAAGATCCATGTGGACCCCGACAACTTCAGGGTAGGTTTTATCATTTCTGGAGGATGAGGTTGCATCTTAATGTTTTAAACTCCCATTTAAAACCTTCATTGTCACATTCTTCTTATTTTAGGCTCTTGCTGAATGCATCACTGTGTGCGTGGCCGCCAAGTTTGGCCCCAGCGTCTTCACCGCTGGAGCTCAGGAGGCCTGGCAGAAGTTCCTGGCTGTGGTTGTCTCCGCCCTGGGCAGACAGTACCACTAAGTGTCTTTGCTGCACCATTTGCTGTCTTGAGGCTGTTGCAAACTAAAAATAAAACCTTTAAACATGATACATCTCTGTTTGTTGCTGTTTGGTTATTGGTGACCTTAAATTTATTTGCTTATAACAAACATCTCTGCGGTGATGATTTACTGATTATTAGTTTAGAAATAAAACTATTAGAAGACGTAAAACCCTAACACGACCACAGAAACAGCATGAACCCATGTTCAAAACGAGAGGTGGGAGAGGGTTTTTGAAAGTCTACAAAAACAAAAGTTTCCCTCATGAAACAAGTTTATTTATATACAATTTTACATGAGGAAAAAAATAAAATAAAATATACCACAACCCGCTCGTTTAGTTATGTACTTTGCATTTTCAGAGAATAAACATGGTTGGTCATTTGACTAATCTAAAATGGTTATTTTGAAATAATCAACGTGGCAATATAAATTTAATAACAAAACATTGAGAAAAAAAAATAGCAGGATCTCATGTGTAGTACACATGAGATCCCATTGTCTAACTGGTGTACCGAGTCTCCTGTCCCTTTTTACTTAATCAGATAATCATCAAATTTTTAATTTAATTTTGTCATATTCTATGTCATAAGCTAAAAGCCACAATAACCACAATTCAAAAGTCTAAATAACAAAAAAGAATTGACTGCACTGTTTAAGCAGAGCAGTAGAGCACATGTACACACATACCCATCAAAGTAGCATCTTTGTATGAAGCCTATTCCAAACATAATAAAGAAAATCATGTCTCTCTTGTAAATGAGTCCCCGAGGCTCAATGGGATTAACCTGTATAAATAAAGGTTGAATGAATGAATGAATATAAATATTCCGGTTTATTTTATTTGGCTCATAATTTGCAAGACGGCCAAAAGCGCCATTCATCGGTTAAATCCTGCAAAAAGACTAAACTCTTAACCTCTAAAACACAAAATATTTATTAGAAGTTTTACATTTTCAAATTGTCTTTTAGATTATTTATTTATGGGGGGGGGGGGGGGGGGGGCAATAATGAGAATGTGAACTTCAAGGACAATACAGGTAAAAACTACACATTGACCTAACTTGAAAACCACTCTATCAGCTCAAATTACTACTTTGTTTTTATGATTATTATTATTCAACATTCATTATTGGGTTATATTTACAGAAGCAGGAGGAACGTACAACTTACTTCCTGTTTCCAGCCGAACGCTTTTTAAAGTGGCGCATAACAATGTGAACAAAATAGAAGATGGGTGTGCGGCTAAATTTGTAGGCTGCAACTGTTTTATGTATTTTTACGGTCAGTGTCTTCGTCCTATTATCATTAATATGAAATAATATAAAGTTCAGATGAAATAAACGAGCAGCTGCTGTTTTTAGACAACTATCTCGACTAACGGAACGTTAGCTAGAATGCTAACATGATGCTTAACCCATCAGCCGGTTCACCAGATGACAGAAAACCCATGTACTCTCAGTCACAAAATAACTTTTACAAAAGTGGGGATAAAACCAGCCCTATTAGCGTCATACTGGTTAGCTCTGGCAGCCGAGGGAACAAACTTCTTTTTCGGTATCCCTTCCAAAGAGTCGATGAATGTCCGTCATCTCTCTCAGGTAGGAGCAGCGTCTTCACCATTACTCCAATCATCGAGAACCAGTTTATGTAGGAAAACCATATTTTTCCACCTTATTATGTAACCTACATTTATAAGAGTAGGTCATTTGTTTATTTTTCAAACAAGCTTCGTTTCTTTTAAATGTTTTGTTGCGACTGTCGAGATTATGTAAGCTCCTCAAAAACTACATGATACTGTAATAAAGTGCACATCACAATACCTTGAATAAGTAAGAAGACATGAAGTAACTTAGAAGTACATGGATCATGATTGTCATTAGCAATTAAGATCAAGAAGTCTGTTTTGGCTCCTGGTTATTAATCTGATGTAAAGTTTAGATTTGTTTAAATACTTGAAACAGCATTCAAAAACAGTCACGGTAGCTTTTATATTTACTAACTGATATTAATTTCTGTCCTCAAGCAAAGCAACGAAACCCATATGCACTGAATGTAACGGGCGATGTTCTTGAAGATCAAGATGGAGATTCAAGGTATGCAATTATTGTATTAATTTGAAAATGATTTATGAATTAGTTTCAACAAACAAAGTCAATTCTGTTATAGCATTTTAGTTTATTGGGCTTCTTTTCTTTTCTTTTGAGCTTTTTTCTCTCTTCAAATTGAGGCTTTGCATCCAAAACTTTGATTAAAGTTTACGGTTAAGCACTTTTTTTTAAATGTTGTGTAAATATTTCCTTAATTTTTTTTCCATATGCTTTAAGTAAACAATTTTCCAGTGCCTTGTTAAAGTTATGTGTGAGTGAGAAAAACTTCCTGAGAAATATAGCACATATGTCATGTTTTAGAACATGTTTGAAAACAAAAATGAGCCTGTCAGCATTTATGTTGCCATTTTGTTGCCTGCAATTTGTTGAATTTGATATTTTGTGACAAAAGGCTGCAGGAGCTGCTGAAAAGTCAAGAAAACCTGAACAAAATGCACCTTAATTTTTCATCATGTTGAAACAAGGTTGTGAATCTCTGTGTCCCAAAAGGAAAACCCAAGAACCAAAGCAAGGAACCCTTTAATGTCTGTTTTTGTATCATTTTTATTTGGTCGCCACTTCACAGATGGTGTTGCTGGTTGGTTCTTTGCTTAAGTTGCCTTTAACTTTATATAGACCAGTGTAAAATGACTGGCATTTTAGATAAACTTTTGTCATTTTATCTAACTAATTTAGATTGAAATATATTTTTCTTCACAACACATTAAAGGTGATATTATTATTATTATTTTTTTTGGCTTACATTCATGGAAATAGCTTAAATAAAGCAATGTGCTATTATTATTGATACATAATCATAAACTGTATATATGAGATAACTTAACTCTTTCCTGCTGCTATAGTGGGTCACCATCTGATTTATTAGACAGGTGGAAGTGGCAATTAATGTCCACAAGTCAACATACAAACCAGCTTTTTCACATCACAGGATCACATGTTTGTTTGGGTTGCTTTAATGTCCATATTACAGTATACATTTAGCCCAACTCTGTGTGTTGCATTTTCCCTTTTGTTTGCTTTTTTTCTTCTTTTTTGTGGCCCAATCCACATTTCAGGGAGCAATCTCCACTAACTGACGAACAGTTGGTAGCAGGGTAAGACCAAATCATTCTGAAGCACTTTTCCTTTGCCTAGACCGCCCCTGTCTTTTTTACCTCTTCTTTTCTGTTTTGTGCCCTGTATGGATCTCCGGCCCTGTTCTCAGTTATATTCCTGTAAATAATCAATGGACAAAATGTCAAATGCAAGCTACAGTTCAGCCAATACTGCTCATTTTTGTTTTTTAAATAATGGTGGTGGAGTAAGTCCTTAGTTTGCTTAATTTTTTCTGGAAGTTAATATTTTAATTTTATACCTCTTTGATTGCAGCATGAGTTTACTTCAGTCAAACCAGCATGAGTTTTTCACATTCCTCATTCGTAAACCATTCAAATCTCACTTTTTCTGCCAGGAAGTTTCTTCCTCCTCTTTTTTCCAATAGCCACAGTCATTTTAATTTTTTAATGTTTAATGTAATTTTTAAAATCCCATTACAGTCAGCTACGTCTAATTAATGCAACCTCTTTTATAAACTTGAATGCGAAAACTGGGAGCAAACCGATAATTTATACTTTCTCACTTGCATCAACTTCCCTTGTTCCGTCTCTGTTCCCACTCCACACAGTTTCTCACGGAGTCTGCTGTATATTTTTTTTTACTTTGAGGTTTTCTGACATCATCCTGGCCACCATCCTGGCCACTAAGTCTGATATGAGTGGAAAGAAGTTTGAACTGAAGATTGACAATGTTCGATTTGTGGGGCACCCTACCCTCCTTCAGCATTCTCCTATCATACAGGTAAAAATATGTTTTTTGGTATTTACTCCTGCAGAGGCAAAAAAAAAAAAAAAAAAAAAACTCACCAGAAAGGAAATGTTTTTAGAGAATACAGTCTAGTTAATATTATCAACAGGTTTCCCTTGAGTAATAAAGCAGTATTTCAGAGTCAGAGTCAGAGTTTCTTTATTGTCATTCGCACCTCATGTGGTACATGTGGTGGAGCGAAATTATGTACATAGGGTCCCAGTTACATCCAACAATAAAATGTATAAGAAAAACAGTAACATCTAAGATATGAACTAAGAAAAACACCAACTAAATATACACTAAGCACTCATAACATAAAACATTGAACATCACCACAAACATGAACATGAGTCTGTGAGCAGATGTGCACGCATGAACACATCAACATTGAAACAGATCAGCAGCAACATGAAACAGATCAGCAGCAACATGATATGGTTTTTCACAGTGATTATTCTAGTTAGAGATTCATGAGTCTAACAGCCTCAGGGTAGAAGCTGTTCCTCAGTCTAGTGGTTCGCAAATAAGATTTCATCTTTTTCTTGCCTGTGATGCTTTAATGTTTAGTAGTCACAACAGCTACATGGGCATTTTAACACTGACAGTATTCAAATAGCTCAACAGCAAAAACACAAAACGAAATACAGTTTAGTGATTGAAAATCGAAATTGCTGCTTCCGTTGCCTCTGTTCGTAGATCCTGTGGCCCATCTGAAAAATGCTGCTGATAATCACTGTAATTACTTAAAGTGTAGTTATTCAGAATTAGATCCACTGTATTTATTCATTGTTGTTTAATCGCTCTGTGTTCACTCAAACATCCAGATGTTCAGGCTGGACAACACGAATGATATAAACTGTCATTTAAGGAGGTCCACAATGTTTCTTAAAGACTGGAACAAGTCAAATCGTCAACTAAAAAAAATCGAGTTCTGTCTGATCTGATCTGTATTTTTATTTTTATTTTCCTTTTAACAAATTATCACTATTGTCAAAAGTTTAGAAACAACTCGTTCAAACTAAACATGTCCAGAATGTAACTATTTTATTCACCACAGGATCTACTTTTCAATCACAGCATCTCATCAGCGTATTGTTTAGCATTCGTTTAGCGTATATCTTAGTTTATATCAGATCCTTATATACCGTTTCTTTTATACTTTATATTTGTGCTATAGTTGGATGTAACTGGGACCCCGAGTGCACAATTGCGTTCCATCTCTTGTACCACATGTGATACGAATAACAATAAGGATACTTGAACTTGATGTTCTCTGTTCAAGTCAGCTGTTGATCAAAATATATCTTTAAAAAACTAAAGTACTCTCTTATCTCACAAAATGGTATCTTGGTATTATGGTATCTAAGGGTTTTTATATTTGTGAAAAACTATTTTTTTATGCAGTAAAACGTTTTATTTTAGTGACAGTTTACAAAGGTTTCCATGTCACTCTCTATACTCTACTTTTATTTTTAATTAAAGACTGAGTTGTATTGTAGCCGTTAGACTTCTTTGACTATTTAGGAAACTTGTAGGCTTTATCAGTTAAATGGGAGCAGTTACATCCTAAAATGCCCCCTAGAGTTCGACTACAACTTTGTCTTAACGTTGTTTTTTGTCAACCGTTTCGTTTGTGCTGTTGAGGTATTTTACTGGCTGTAGAGATGATATGGATGTTGCAAACATAAAGCATTTTAGTATTTATTTTTTTATCATTGTCATGTGAAAATAAACTTATTACTGTACTGTAATGAAATGTAAAAACACACAGTTTAAAAGAAAATGGCCAAAGAGTCTGAGTTTAGAATTTAAATTGAACTATTTACCATTTTTATTAGATTCTGTGTTTTTGTGCCAAGTTACTAAACACTGCATGGAAACAATTTCTTCTTTATTTAAGCTCTTTTCTAATTCCGTAATTAGCATTTTAATAGCTAGACTAATAATAAAAAAGATTTGTTATTTAAATTTTTATATTTGTAAACAGACTGTAATTTTTGCCTAGCTTGAAAAATAAGATTTGAAATTCATTTCTTTCGTTTAGACAAAGTATTTTAGTAAATCTAAAGCTGTGAGGGGGCTTTTATAAAATAAATATTTGTTCCATCACAGTTAACATTTTTAAAAATATGTTTGTCTACAGCTTTCAACACTTAACATTGACCGTGTTGTAAATAAGACGACAGACTGTTTCACTTTCTCTCCGTAAAACGTGTTTATTTTTGCAGCGTACCAACTTTTTGTTTTTTATTGTTACAGGTTTCCAAAATCGATCCTTCGCCTAAGAGAGAAATGCCTACAATGATTCTGTTTAATGTGGTGTTTGCGCTGAGGGTAAGACACTTTATATGATTTATATTTTAAATCGTCATATTTGTGCACATAAAGTACCAACTTTGGTATAAATGTACACAACAAAGCCTTGTTATTTTAATATAAACATTTGTACATATTTGAGCTGACTGTGGGTGGGACGCTTCAAGTTTGTGTTCTGGTAATCGGTATTCTTTGAATGGGAGGGGCGCTTCAGATGATAACGCTTCACTATCTGTGACAACATGGGAACTGAAGCAGGAGGGGGCGTTTTGTTTATTTTTAATCATGCAGCCCAATAAGGCACAGCCCCGTCCTGCCCACGCTGAGTCATGCTTCTCTGCAAGTCCAAGTGTAGCTCAGATGAAGCTGAAAGTGCTTTGTCATGTTTTGTGCATATGTCCATGAACTACATTAGTTGTACTTGAAACACCTTCACAACCTTCTAAACGTTAATAACACGCGGTTAAACAATTTTAGTCATTTTTTCATTAATATTGTATGTGTTTATTATTCGTTTCATTTGAGTCTGAAAAGGCACACAGGCTTTAATTGGACGCGCAGAACATTTGGTTACGCTGTTTTCATTGTTTGCCACTTCAGGCAAACGCTGACCCGTCCGTGATCAACTGCATGCACAACCTGTCTCGGCGCATCGCTATAGCCCTGCAGCACGAGGAGCGCCGCTGCCAGTACCTGACCAGAGAAGCCAAAGTCATGCTGGCTGTCCAGGATGAGATTACCACCATGACTGAAAGTGAGAAACCCACTCAGAGTCCACAGCAGAGTCGAAGCTCTGTCTCTGTCCAGCTGGGCGATTGATGTGTTTTTAATCTTTAAGTATTTTAACGGTGTGCTAACTTTGAGGCATGTTGTTTCATACAGGAGCATGTTTTAACTGTGGTTTCTCCCTCCTGATGTCAGCAGATGGAAGCCCCCAGTCCCCGTTTAGACAAATTCTGCCCAAATGTAAACTAGCCAGGGACTTGAAGGAGGCTTACGACAGGTCTGTGCTTAAACACGCCGTCATTTATTGAATAATTTATTCTGACATTAAACAAGTTATATATTTCATAAAGCTGATGAAGCTAATAATCATTTTTCAGCCTTTGTACAACGGGTGTGGTGAGAATTCATTTAAACAACTGGCTGGAAGTAAGCTTCTGTTTACCACATAAGATCCACAGAATAGGTGGTAACCATATACCCCCAGAGGCACTGGAGCGCAGCCTAAAGGCTATAAGGTACATTTAATTTTATATTGAACTGTATATTTCTCTGGGATATCAAATGCATCGTTTTGTTTCACCACGAGTTTAACAGAAGCAACATATTTGCAACAAATCGTGCAGGAGCAAATGCTATTTTCAGAACTGTTCTATGTGCATTTTAAAGTGAAATATTTTTTTCTGGTACTTTTGAAGAACCACACACACACATATCATAAAGTCAAACTTCTGATTTGTCATTTGCACCACATGTGGTGGAACGAAATTGTGTACAGGGTCCCAGTTACATCCAATAAAAGGATAAATTGTAAAGAAAACCAGTAATAAGATCTAAGATGTGAACTAAGAAATATGCTAAACTAAGAATAAACTAAGCACTAGTAGTACAAGAGACACGTACTTCACCCCATAAACCTCTTCTGTTACCTTAATACAGTTCAAGATTTATGATGAGAATGACCACTTTGATAATATGAACATTGTAGGATTTATTTTTATTTTTTGTATCACACTAAATATGCACCAGACTATATCTTTATATGCAATAAAGTTATAAGTGAAGCCCACATAAACTCAAAACATGCAGAAAAATGACCCGTCACGTTTAAAAGTTTCCCTTTGATCCATGTTGTTGAGTGAATGCTAATATTTATAATAATAATAATAATAATGTGTTAAATTTGTATAGCACTGTTCACGAAACCCAAAGATGCTGTATAAAGGAGATCACACTAAGGAACACAAGACTTAAGAAATTAACCAACAGTTAATTGAGCAACATCGTTCAGGGAACTGTGAAATGTTAAATTGTATGCTTCAGATATTTTGGATGTTTTTTTTATATATTTCTAGAAATGAAGCATGTCTGCATGGAAAGCATTTCAGAGAGATGGGGTTGTAATTCTGCTGCTCTGTCACTGAACGTTTAGGGTGAAGGACTGAGAGCAGCCCATCGGTTTGGACAGCCTGTTAAAACACCTCTGAGCCTTGAATCTATAGTGTCTAATCAGTTTGTGTCATAAAAGTGCTGTGTCATTCTTAGCTGAGGTCAGATTTTTATTTATTTTTTTGTTATGTGCAATTAAGAGCAACTTGATTCATACAAAGTAATTATGTGCTATACTGCCTTTGGTCTGTACTTTGAAGCGCACTATGGTCCGCTTTGTTTCTTTTAGTTGTTTCAAGTTTTAAAATAAAACACAAAGGTGACTTGACCTTTTACAGTAGCAGCACAGATTTTCTCCTTAGGGCTCATCCTTTTATGTTTAACTTTCAATTTAGTCCTTTATTTTGATTTATATTTGAACATTGCACTCGATAATTGATAAATCTTTGACCCCCGCAGGCCTTATCATGCCCTGCTGCTGCTGGAAAGTGACAAGGCGCTGCTCAGCCAACTTCCACTGGACTGCTCACCCGCGATGGTTCGCCTCATAAAAATCTGCTCGGCGGTGAAAAACCTGCAGCAGCTTGCACAGGATGCTGACCTGGCTTTACTGCAGGTGCCAAACACAGAAACTGCTTACATATTCTCTGCATCACTCTCTACGAGAGATATAATACATTTTTAATTAGTTATAGTTACTTTTTCTTAGCACTTTTATTTAAAATGATCCAAATACAAAGAGAAATCTGGGCTTGTTGTATTGTTACATTACTGCCCTCTAGTGGTCAATCTGTAGTATTTGAATTGTAGTGAAGACCTGTTTGTAAAACCATAACCAACATTTTCTTGCATTATCATTCATGATATATATATTTTTTTATTTGGATCCTGCTGTTTCACATTACATATAGTAAATAACTTTATATTTCTTTTTCCAGGTCTTTCAAATTGCTGCTCACTTAGTTTATTGGGGCAAGGCGATCATCATCTTCCCACTATGTGAGAATAACGTCTACATGCTGTCACCTCATGCCAACATCTCCCTGTAAGTTTGATGTAGTATCAGTCTTCAGAGTTAAAGAACCACTTTAATATGTTTTAAAGATATTCAGTATTAAACTTTGAACACATTAATTTATAAGCTCTATCATGAATATTATGTGCTATTTGTTTTTGAATAGATACTCCCCACTGGCCGAGCAGTTTGCCCAGCAGTTTTCTGGCCATGACCTGCCCTCCATGTTAGCGAAATTTTCATTACCTGTCTCACTGGCTGAGTTCAGAAACCCCCTGGAGGCTCCTGCGCAGGAGGTGAGATTATTGTAACTGTTGAAAGACAATAAATGTACGACCATTTATTTATAAAAAGAAACGGTGATGACAGTAGAAGTGGAATTCAACGATATCACAGACATCTATCCGAGACATTTTAAATCACCGTTATTTTTTTTTATTTAAGTGAAATTATCTGTGCACCTGCTTTTTTAATTCAAAAATAAATAAATAAAAATTAATAGAAGTGTTTGTGTAAATTAGTGTGGACCGATGTTCTGTGGTTCTGTGTTTTAGTTTTTGGTCCATATTTTTGAAACTGAAAGTTATGATCAAATGGGATATTTGACTAATACGATGAAAATGTTTCACAATTGACCAAACTGGACGTCTTTTCAGTTTTTCCCTCTTCAGGAGTCGACACACAGAGTCATCCTCACTCCAACTGCCTCCATGTCCTCTAACTGCATCCATATATCTCCTATTTGTCTTATTCCTGGCAGCTGCATTTCTAACATCCTTCTACCAGTATACCCACTGTCCCTCCTCTGGACATGTCCAAACCATCTCAGTCTCTAACTTTATCTCCCAGTTGTTCACCCTGCGCTGTACCTCTCCTCTGATCATCTCATTCCTGATCTTATCCATCCTTGTCACTCCCAAGGAGAACCTTAACATCTTCATTTCCACCACGTCCAGTTCTGTCTCCTGTCTTTTTGTCCATGTCTCTGTCTCCAGATCAGACAACGTAGCTGCTCTCATCACTGTCTTGTAAACTTTTCCTTTGAACTTTGCTGACACCCTTTTGTCACAAATCACTCCTGAAACTTTTCTCCATCCTACCTGGACTCTTTTTTTCACCTCTTTACCACATTCCCTATTTTCCTGGACAGTTGACCCTAAGTGGACATCATGGTATCTTAAAACAGGCACGAGACTTTTGCTCAAACCTTGTGAAAAATGTTTTTTGAGGTTTTAAATCAAGTCATCTTATCTTACATTGTCTTCTGTTCAGACTCATTTGCAATCACAAGAAGTGCTCCCTGCTGGTCATCAGATTTTTTTTGCACTAATACTTAAGTTGAACTATAAAGGACAAACACATATGAGCTCCAGCACATGCACATCTCTCTTTTTTAATGTGAACTAGACTAGTGTCATGGCTCTTTCCTGCTGCTGTCATTTGAGCTTGTGCGTTGCTCACAAGATTTAAAAGGTGTTTAATTTGGCACGTGAATACGCAGCCTCTCTTAAATTATAATTCAGTTTGTTGATCTGTTTCTGAACAGGCCCAGTTGATTCAGATGGTGGTGTGGATGCTCCAGCACCGCCTGCTTATCCAGCTGCACACTTATGTTTGCCTTCTGGTACCGCCCAGTGAAGATGAGCCTGGACTGAGGGATGAAGAGCTTCCTCTGGCCACCCGAGTGGGAGGCCGGAGTCTCAGCACCCCGAGCGTTCTTAGTTTTGGTTCACCAAGTAGGTCCTCCCTCATTTCTGTCCTCTCAGAGGTAAAACAGATTGTAGTGAGTCTTTGACCGTTTGTCCTCTCTGTGTGTGCAGCGAGCAGCGATGACATGACGTTAACCAGTCCCAGTATGGAAAATTCCAGTGCAGAGCTGCTGCCTGGTGGAGACTCTCCACTCAACAAAAGGATGACAGAAACACAACTCACAAGTCTGTCCGAGCACGAGAGGCAGGTCTTACTTAACATCCCAGCTGCACAAAACCCAGAGGATCTGCGCATGTTTGCCAGGTAATTATTCAGTTGCTTTCAGCGCACAAGAAGTGCACGTGTTTTTGTGTTTCAGGATGAGCGATGACTCTCATTGTTTCGTTTAATTTTCAAAGATGAGAACTGACCACGTGTTGATCTTTTTGTACTTTTTCTGTGTACATACGAATATTATAAATACAGAGCGCACCATACAACTTTATTTATAAAGCACTTAAAACAGCAGCCAGCCAAAGTGCTGAACAGCAAAAATAACACAAGCAAAGGACACAGGATAAAATGCATAGATCCAAATAGGTAAATATAATAACTAAATGACTAATGTTATTGAACACAGACAAGTTAAAATCAGTTCACACAGTGTCAAAAGCCAGGGAATAAAAGTGAGTTTTTAAACAAGACTTAAAAACAGTGAGAGAGGGAGCCTGCCTGACATGTAGTGGTAACTCATTCCACAGTCTTGGACCTGCAACAGAGAAGGCCCTGTCACCTGTGAGCTTCAAACAAGTGCCTGGAACCAATAAAAGCATCTGATCTGCTGACCTCAGAGAGCACTGTGGGACATATGGCTGCAGCAGATCAGCGAGATAAGAGGAGGCAGAACTGTTCAGAGATTTAAAAACTTACAGAAGGATTACTACATCTTAGTTCCCTCAAGTCCACGTCACAAAACACTAAGATTATAAAAGGAACATAAATGCTGTTCTCATCTGGTCATTCAAGACTCAAACTGTAAGCGTAGGTACAGCAGTCCCTCGCTCTATTGCGGTTCTCGTGGACTCGCTCCATCGCGGTTTTTCAAAATAAGATTGGACATGACACACAAATGGCTGATTGATGGATGAGCCGCATGATCGGCATGACATATTTATTTAAAATTAATTATTTTAAATTATTTAGCACCTGCTGCATCTGTGTGCAGCCCACAGCTGCAGGAGAAGCTCCCTCCTGCACTGTGTCATACAGTATCTCTGCTCTGCAGCGGAGAAGTGGGCGTGGCCGAGAGCACTGGCAGAGAGCTGATTTCATAACGTTCTGTGCTTTTTTAGAGCGTTTAAAGTTTAGACAATGTTTAGAATATTGAATAATTTTTTTGCAGAGATAAACAACTTTTTACACGAAGGCACAGGTTTCAACCGTGAATGTTGTAGCTTCGACAAGACGGAGGTTTTTTCCCCGAGGTCGGCCTGTTAGCTTAGCTCGTAGCTTAGCTTCTCAGCTTAGCTGCTTTTAACAATCCAAAAATGCAATTTTGGACGGTGAAAACAGATTTAAAAAAAAAAAGAGGAGAAAGGGAGGGGTCCATGAAGGGCACCGGAGTTGAACCCTTTGTCATCCAGTGTCTTCAGTAGAAAGAGAGACACGAAGAAACTATAAAGCCGATAAATGAAAATGAGGTCGGTAATTTTCATTTATCATGCGATTAAACGATTTATTGTTTATCACGACAGGCCTAACTTCAGCTCTTTGCAACCTGCAAGCGCTCTCGGCCACGCCCACTTCTCCACTCTGCACTGAGAACAGCTGATCAGCTGCAGGAGAAAGCTGTGGGCTGCACAAAGGTGCAGCAGGTGCTAAATAATTTATTTCAAATAAAAATTCCATGCTGATCGTGCAGCTCATCCATCAATCAGCCAGTTGTGCGTCATGTCCAATCTTATTTTGAAAAACTGCGATAGAGTGAGTCCACAATAAACGAACCGCGAAGTAGCGAGGGACTACTGTATTCAAATACTTGGGGTTACAGTTAATTTTCTCGTGTTAGATTTTGAAAACAGCACAGTAACTAGGAATCATTTCTTCGTGTTGTCCACATCACATGAATTAAAAATCGCATCAAAGCTTCAAAAGTTTTTAACAGAGTCTGATTCCATTTTTTATTTATTTTTTTATTTTTTTTATCCATTATGTTGACTACTTCCAGACTGCTGCATTATTTCCGGGGACATCACCACCTGGAAGAAATGATGTACAACGAGAACATGAGACGCTCGCAGCTCAAGACTCTGTTCGACAAGTTTCGCAGCGTCCTCGTGGTGACCAACCACGAGGACCCCATCATTTCCATCTTCCAGTCCCCCATGGATTAGTGGCGCCGAGGCCGTAACGGCACTTGAAAATACGTCAGAGATCAGTTGAATCTCCTCACAGCGAAGTGCTCTTCAAAGACGGTCTTTACAGACTGATTTGCATTAATGTGTAAAGATTTAAAACGTGTAGAACGGGTTTTTCTCTTTGAGCCAAATGTTTGTTTACAATATTAAATTATTTTTTTCGTCCCAGACATGCCTTAAGGGTCCTCTGTGGAGAAGGAGTTTTGATAATATCTCCCCACCTCACAATCTGTTAGAGAATGATCTGTGCCGGCTTCACGGGGGTGTCACGGTGATCGTTCCAGATCTTCAGCTACCTCTTTTTTTTAGGAATCCCAAAGGTAATGATGGAAAAACTGCAGCCAAAAAAAAAAGTAAAAAGTCAAACAGGCTGTTTTTGCTCGGGCTGTTTAAGGGAAACGTTCCTAACATCTGTAAAATCACTGAAAGGAACATTTACCCACGTGTGAATAAGAAGCACTGGAGCTAAATGAAAGACTACTCACAGTGATTCAGTGTTTTTTTTTTTTTTTTAAACCAGAACTAGTTAACTGATTCTGACTTGTCTGTTTTTGTTGCTTTTTGTACATCTTCGCATTAATAAAGCATTTCCAGTTTTTTTTACTTTTGAAATGTTAATTTTTTTTCATTAATAGAACATCTAAAAAATGAAAAACTTAAAGGGTAGCTTCTTTTTTTTAATCTAATTTTATTCTCTCAATGTGTTTAAGAAGTGAGCAGATGGAAAAAGAGTTCTTCAGTTCTTTTTGTCCTGGTGCAGCCTGCATGTCTCAGGGACCTAAACTGTTCATTGCATTTCCAGACGGAGACCGTCTTTCTGCCTCTTTATTCACAACGCTAACGCAGGGGTGCCCACGGAGATAAAACCGCCACGGTTTCTTGGCCCACTCCCCGTGGGACTCGATTCCAATACGTGGAGCTGATACTATGTCCTGGGGGTTTGTTGGACTTGTGTTTGGATCTGTCTCCAGCCACACCTCTGGGTCTGAAGCCAAGTCTCTACGATCAAAACAGCGAGGTATGTTCAGGGCCTGGCACAGCTTTGATGGCCCGTTGCAGAGCTCTTTGTCCTTTAGTTGGCGGGCTCCTTCTTTGCGTCTAGCTGCCCTCAGCTCCTTCATGACAGACTGACCCTGGAGGGGCTCCAGAGAGCGCAGCAGCACAGCAGCACCCTCCCCTGAGGGATATATACATCAATCAGCAAGACTCCCAATATGTCTCCTTTCCTTCTAAAAGTTAAAACTAAACACTGACCAGCTTTGATGGTAAACAAGTGACATAAACAAGCTTTACAAAATATATTCAAGCACGTTAAAAATATATATTGATGCATGTTCAATAATCCAGGTAGATAAATCTAACAAGGTTAAGTCAGGTTCTCTGGACGGATTCTTCTTTTTGAAACATTTTGTCTTTTATCCAAAAGACTTCTTCAGTCTGAGGAGCTGCACTAAACTCAGTCTTATAAATAGCACCTACTCATAGTGGATCAACCAGTTTGCTGGTGACAAAACTAATTGTTCACATAAAGGAGGACCATCAGCCTGTTAGTGGGGCTGCTGTGGTGTACGGCAGCCGACTTGGGACCAGAAAGTCACAGGTTCAGCTCCCTGCCATGCCCACATGCTGTGGTGTCCTTGAGCAAGACACCCAATCCCTAACTGCTCCCTGGGTGCTTACATAGCTGCTCGCTGCTCCACCTGGGTTTATCTCACATGTGATGGGTTAAATGCAGAGAACTAATTTCATCATTATATAGAAACATTCCTTGATGACAACACTTGGCACTTTTTTTAGTGCCCTGATGGCCGCTTGCTATTCACAGAGGGCTGAGTGATGCAATAACAGTATTGAAAGAGGGAGACAGTTGGACACGGAGACCTCCGCTCCTGTTTAACGACGGGACTTATTTCAGGAGCCATGGAGAAGGAGAAATCCCACACACGACAGGCCCTGGAGCAACGTGGACATCCTAACTGGGCCTTCCTGAAAGAGAGAAGAAACCCAAACAGGACTCCAGCCAACCATCGGGTGAAAAAAAGAGGAACCCAGACCAGTGATCTTTCCATATGTTTAGAGAAACACGTTTATTTTCTCAGCGACATCTCAGTAGCTTTCAAACCCCAAAATACATTACGGCAAAGACTGGTTCATCCCAAAGATCCAGTCCCCCGACACAAATATTGTGTATGCTGTTCAGTGTCAGGAGGGTGATCAGTCTTACATCGAGGAAACTAAACAGCCACTGGCCAAAAGGATGGACCAGCACAGAAGAGCAACACCATCAGGCCAGGACTCTGGTCTACACTCATCTCCAGGCCAGTGGTCACTCTTTCAGGGATGAAGATGTTCACATCCTGGATAGATGGTTTGAGGAGGCCATCTTTGTTCAGAGAAACCGTCCATCATTAAACAGGAGCGGAAACCTTGTCCAACTCTCCCCCTCTTACAACGCTGTTATTGCATCACTCAGGCCTCTGTGAATAGCAAGCGGCCATCAGGGCACTAACGACCAATTGTTAGGGCACTAACAATCTATTATTAGGCTGATGGTCCTCCCTTTACATGTGAACAGCTAATTTTGTATGTCACCAGAAAACTGGTTGATCGACGAGACGGTGCTGCTTATAAGACTGTTTGTTGCAGCTCCCCAGACTGAAGAAGTCTTTTGGATAAAAGACGAAAGGTTTCAACAAAGACGAACCTGTCCAGAGGACCTGACTCGACCTTAGACATGTTAAAAATACACGTTTGAACCTAAATGCACAACAAAGAGGCATCGCTGGTGTGTCTTGGTTGTACCTTCACTGGACACGTTCATGCAGAGGTAGATCCCATATATGGGGTACACATAGATTGTGCCTGGCTTCATAAACATGGCGGTGTTTCTCCCCGTGCGTTTGCCTCCAGCTGAGTGTGAAGCTTTATCCTCCCCACCAAGATACGCCTCGGTCTCCACTATTCTCCCCCGCAGCTCCGCTCCGTCTGCACACCTGCGCACCAGCACCTGACAGGAAAGACCACACGTTGTTTCCGTAGTGAATTATTCAACAAGCAGGGAGTTGACTTTCAATAATGATGAATATATATATATATTTTTTTTTTTTTTTTTTTGAAACACATTCTATTTTATGTTTCTGACTTGAGTTTCTGCCCCCTCACTTATCTCAAATATTTGATTCAGTTTTAAAATCAGAAGTTGCAAAATTAACAAGTAATTATGTCAATATTTCCAATCCAATTAGTAACTAACATGAATTTGTTGGCTACAGACACTTATTATTAACAGAAACAGTCCTATAAAATCTCATTAAGTAAATAAATACATATGTTGTGATCATTAGGGGAAGCAGAACAAATAATACATCTATATCAGTGGTATGTAAGATCACAAGATATAAAGACTGGTGATCAGTTTAGTGAACCAAACAACTTAAAAGCACAAAAACAGGATCAAAGCAGATATAGTTTCATAAATAAAATAAAAAAAATTATATTTTATTTAAGAAAGTACCTTGCCAAGGAAAGTTTTAGCCAAACTGATGCACGGCTGATTGAAAAAGTCCTGCCCCAGTTTGTGCTTGTTGAAATAATGGCTTTGCACAGGCAGGCTGTGAGTCATGTCACATTTATTTGGACCGTCAGGTGAAACTGTCCACGGCAGCTTTCTTTTCCTTCCTGCCATATTTGACTCCGTGGAGCTCTAAAGTCAAATGTCCCCACGACAAAAACCCACTCTGCGGTAGCTCAACACCTTTATTCTATTATACTCGAGCAAAATCTGCAAATAAAGACAAAATCGAGCGCGCTCCAGCACACCGGTGTCGAGCCTAAAAAAGTGTCAACAATCACCGCGGGAGCGCGCACAGCCTGTTAGCGTTTGTCACCGGAAGAGTCGCTGTTTCTTCAAATTTAACAATAACACGGTTATTTTTATTATTTCTTTTGGATTCCATTGATTAAACCCAGGATGTATGTATATGTGTCATCAAAGTGTCAACAAGCTGTTTTAAAGCAACTTATACTAAATATTTAAATGGACCGTCATAAATTAAATACATTATTTATTGACTGCTGCCAAAAGGAAAAAAAAATAGTGTGATTCTTTTTCAAACAAATATTGTTTACCACTGTCAGAAAATGACCAGTGATCATGCTTAGGGTGGAGGAAATTCATTTATTGACAATATAATGGAGTTTTTTTTTTTTTTTAGTTAATATGGATGAGCTTGAGTCTTCATTGTTAATGAAAAGGGATGTTCTAAGGCAAAAAAAAAGAATCCTGTTTTATAGTTAGAAAATGAGCCAAAATTTTGGCTACAAAAATTGCAATTTTAAGGTAATTTGTGTTGTGCAAAGGTCATCCCGTGTTATAATTTATTATAAGAATTTAAAAAAAAAAAGTAAAAACTGTTCAGTGATAAGCTTCAAGAGTCAATTTCCTCAGTTGATGTGTTTGAAACTTTCTATTTGTGACCTTTTTGGTCACTGGGACAATAATCTCTTCTGTGGTCCACACTGCGCTCACCCACCTGGAGCAGGACTCATACGTCCGTATGCTCTTTGTGGACTTCATGTCTGTCTTCAACAGCATGATCCCCCAAACCCTGATGGACAAACTACTCACGCTAGGACTAAGCCCCTCCATTTGCAACTGGGTATTAGACTTCCTAGCTAACAAACCACAGTCAGTGAGGATCCACAACTTCTCCTCCTCCACCATAACCCTCAGCACTGGCTCTCCTCAGGGATGTGTGCTGAGCCCTCTCCTGTTCCTCTGCTCACATATGATTGTACACCAACCTACCCAGGCTGTCATATTGTAAAGTTTGCAGATGATATAGTGGTGGTGGGATGCATCACAAACAATGATGAGTCCAGCTACAGGCAAGAGGTGGAACACCTGGAGAGCTGGTGCAGGAAGAACAACATTCACATCAATGTGAAGAAGACAAAGGAGATGAGTGTTGACTTCAGAAGGAACAAACACACTTACACCCTCCTGAACATAAGAGGATCTGCGGTGGAAGTGGTCTCCAGCTACAAGTATTTGGGTGTGCATCTGAATGACAACCTCAACTGGGGCAACAACACCACCAGCCTGATCAAGAAGCTCATCAGAGACTCTACTTCCTCAGACGGCTGAGGCGAGCTGGTCTGGGAAGCTCAATCTTCACCTCCTTCTACAGGTGTGCAGTGGAGAGCATCCTGTGCTCCAGCATCAACGTGTGGCATGGAGGCTGCACAGCTGCAGAAAGAAAAGCTTTGCAGAGAGTGGTGAAGGCTGCACAGAAATCTGTTGGAGTCAGACTCCCCACCATCACAGACATCTACACCTCTAGATGCAAGAAGAGGGCCACCTGCATCATGAAGGACCCCACTCACCCAGCACACACACCTTTTGCCCTGCTCCCCTCAAGAAGGAGGTTAAGGAGCATTAATTGTAGAACCACTAGACTGAGGAACAGCTTCTACCCTGAGGCTGCTAGACTCGTGAATCTCTAACCAGGATAATCACTGTGGAAAAAAATCACATCATGTTGCTGCTGATCTGTTTCATCTGCTCACACAGACTCATGTTCATGCTGCTGTTCGACGTGATGTTTTTCTTAGTTCATATCTTAGATCTTATTACTGTTTTTCTTTTACATTTTATTGTTGGATGTAACTGGGACCCTGTGTAAATAATTTTGTTCCACCACATGTACCACATGTGGTGCGAATGACAAATAAAGATCTTTGAATCCTTGAAAACCCTCATGTCTGGTAAACTATAATCGACAGCCTTGATGCAGAAATCGTAATTTTCATATTTGAGCATTAATTACATTTATCACATCACCGTGACGTCATGGTATATTTCCAAATAAAAGCAATTACAAACCACCAGAACTTTGGCCATACACGACATAAGGAGTTTTTGGAAAAAATAAATAAATGTAAACGGAGGCACGTCTTTGCTTTAATCTTGAGCTCCAAATAACCATCTTTAGGTGTTTATATTGTTAAATTTGAAGAAGTAAAACAGCGACACCTCCCTTGACAAAAACACTAACAGGCTGTGCGCGCTCCCGCGGAGGTTGGTCACTTTTTGGCACGACACCGGAAGTAAATGTTTGTTTTGAAATTTCTTAAAGGGACCGTGCACCAATTTAGCAAAACATTAAAAAAAAAAAATAATCACTACTCAACCTTATTAGTTATTGCTTTTTTAATTTTTTTTCCAAATAAAACTCAAGGTTTTTTTTTTTTTTACCTTTTCTTATTTTTCATCTAGTTTCTTCCTGAGCGTGACATTTTATTAATTTTTTTTCCAGCTGTCGTATTAGTTTTAATGTATTTTGGAAAACGATGAGTATAAATAGAGTCAGTGTGCTCTCCACTGCCTGAGCCCAGAAACTGGAAGGCGCCAGTTTGGCCCCAAGCACTGTGTCTGCATACGGGTCCATGTGGAGGACTAATTGTATATGACAAGACACGCTGAGCCACAGACTGCAGCTCCATGAGGAAAGTACAACTGTCCTATTGTTGAGTGTAGGCAAAGTGCTGAGAGAGGATGGCATAGCTGTGTGTGGATGTATGGCATTTACTGTGTGACTAAAATTAATCAGCCAGAGATATAGAAGATGTGCTATGGGTTATGGACCCCCTTTTTTAATAGGGGATACTTGTAATTAAAACTGAGCTGAGATTTTTAAAGATAACATGTGAAGAACATACACAAAGAATTCAAATAGTTACTTTTTCTTTGTTTTGCTCTTAATCACTGGACATTTTAAGTATTTCAAGCTTTTGTTTCTGATAAAAGCAGCAGCTTCTCTCCACAGTGTCATTCTTCAAGCCTCCCTGTGATTCTGATGTTCTTCCGCCCGCTGGGTTTAACGCTGACAGTGTTCTGCTGCAAACCCCTTTGAACAGAATTATCTCCGAAATATGCACATATTTTGATGGAAGCTGCTCTGAATGTTCACGCTGGAGCTCAGTTGGTTAGGCTTTGTTGTTCCTCTTGTGTTTGAATAATTTCCAGACACCGAATTTGATGGAAGCACATTTAAACAAAAATGTTGCACAAAGACAAAAAGCAGTTGGGTTTTCAGTTCTCCAGTGACATTTAAAGCAGTGATTCCCAAAGCTGGGGCCAGGTCGCCAAGCAGGGGGTCCTTAGATAATTTCCTCATATCAATTTGCATTTCAAAATTATTTTTAATTAGCAGATTTTCACCATAATTGTGTAAAGCAGTAGTCATGAATTTATGAAAAATATATTGTGGCAGTTAAGACTGATTATATTGTCTTTATGCCAATGTTTATTAAATTATTAACCATTTCTATATATTGAAACTTCAGTTGATCAAATTAAGCCTTTATCACAATTATTTTGTTGCTTAAGAGCTAAATTGTTTGCGAACCTCTGATTTAAATAACAGCTCCAAACATTTTAGTGTTTTTTCCAAATGATCGCATCATAACCATGTTTCAAGGATTATAGGTCAAATGCACTTTCAAAAATTTAATAACGGATTCAGTAAAAAAGAAGAAATAAATCTTATTTACCCACTTATGCACGAAATAACCTATAAAATACATAAATAAATTTAATGGTATGCAGTATATTCCATGTTATATTATTATTAGATATGTTGTTAATCTCACTACATTATTATGATGTCTCAAGTTTCATTTTATTTGTTGCCAGACAAATTCTGACTTTTAATCATCAATCTCATGATAAAAATGATCAAAATAAATAAATAAAGATTAGTTATGTCGGTATGGCAATACAGACTGTTAATGTGATCAAACTAAATAAAAATTCCTTTGAAATACATAAAAATGTCAAAAACATTTCCAGATAAAATGGTCTTATTGTTCACATTAGGAACTGGCTCATTTAATTCCTATTGTCTTTATATATAGACAAGTGTGGGTGAAATTACCGGCTTTTTTGATATTTTTTGTTTGTTTATCATAAACATGTGAACCAATAATATAATTCTGTGGTGTGAGAATGGCTGTATTTATCAGGAAAACATCATAAAAACAATTAGTGCTATAAATCTAAAGCCCTATATCGGTTTAACAAGTTTAAATTCTAGGGGAAATTTTGCTGAGCAGGTTCTGCACAAGTCTTTTGACGTGGACTGTTGATTTTGTGAAGGCTGGTGGACTAGCAGAGGCCATTGTCTGTGACGGCTGGGTTCCCCCAGCTTGTCATCGTTTCTGTCTCTGATAATCTCAGCAGACACGTTTTGGCATTCTGGTTCACTTTTATCTCCGGCAGGCATCTCACCGGTTGTGACGTTGGACAGAAGCACCAGAGACTCATCTGTTTGTGCAGATGGACGAGCAGAATGCTGCCTGACTAAAAATAACTGACTAATTTATGAGTCAGAGAAACCACAAATATCTGCAGGGTTGTGCACGCTCTTGTTTTGCAGAGCTTTATGAAGACTAGGCTTTTGTTTTTGGTTGAGGTTCACAATTTGCAATTGGGTTTTTGCTGATAAATATGTAAATTATTCAACTGTTCAAACATTGCATCAAATAAAATAAAATTTAGCATCAGAGCAGATATTACATCATCAGATATTGCAATAAATCATTGATTAAAATTAAGTAAATAAATATAGTGAGCATTGGTTTGGGATGTCACTACCATCATTGTTAAAATCGCACAATTAGTTTTGTAATAAAACCGTAAAACATGTTATCTGCATGAGTTAGATTGCTTCAAGATAAAAGCTTTGATCTAAAAATAGACGTCCATGATGGCTTTTGTAGCAATGCAGAAGACAATCTTTGAGATGCAAAAATACAGTTTTCTTAAGTTTGTTTTAATCTTTTTTGTTGCTTAGTGACATCAAATGTTAAATTTTGAAAGAGGTTTTAAGGGTGGGCTGATATGGCATCATTTCAAGAATTGCGCCGTTCAAGGTGGCTGCATGTTGGAGTAGCTGTTACTTTCATTCTGGGATATTGCTTTTGAAAACTTAATTTCCTCTTTTTTCTGGATGTAAATGGGTTTTTTCGGATGATTACTTCCTCTGGTATCAGAGACTGTACAACTGGAAGGATTTTTAATGAAACCTTTTACTTTTGGACATTTGTTATGAAGCGTAACCATGACAACAAGTTGGTTTTTACAACCGGGAGCAGCTGATTAACATCTCAAAGCTCAAATAATACCTCAAATACAGCCCCAAATCCAAAAGAATTGTAAAGGAGGTGCCGTGGATGCATCTCCGTCTACCTGGCGTAGGTACTTGAGTGACTGACTTCCGAGATTCTGGAGCTGGCAGGAAACGTGGCTCATGACAACAAGAAGACCAGGATCATCCCCTGACACCTCCATCTGGCTGTCTGCAATGATGAGAAGCTCAACAAGCTGCTGAGAGGAGTGACCATCGCTCAGGGAGGAGTTCTGCCCAACATTCAGGTGGTCCTGCCCAGAAGGACCGAGAGGCCTGCTGGGTCTGGGTGGACAGATCGGCATCTGCAGCCAGTTTCTTCAGATCTGTTGTGGGACAGACTGCTGCGGGACGGACTGATGCAGGAGATCCTTCCTGCCCACAGCCATCAGGATCTATAACAACAATTAATGAAACCAGGATGATGAGCTACAACAACATTTAATTTCCCTTTGGGATTAAGAAAGTATTTTTGAATTGAATTGTCAAAACCAGAGGAAAATCTTTCTCATATGTACGTTGTCCTATCTAAAAATTTCTATATTTATATTTAGACATGAAAAATAAAAAGACAAATGATTAAAAGGGGAAACAAATCAACTAATAATTTACTTTTATTAGGGTATGTTCAATAATAACCAAACACATTTAACCCTGTTCATTTTCTTAAGTATAATTCCAGAAAATGGAAAACCTAATCGTGATGGACTCTTTTACCAAGATGTGGTGAAGCCCAGGAGCCATTTACATGTGATGGGATCAATAATTGATGATTATTAATGATTTAAGAACGTTTTTCCTTGTTTACAGCAGCAGTGTTGTGTCTGCTGCAGCTCTCACTAGCAGATGGGACTATTCCTCCATTTGTGACCCAGTTCACACACCGGCTCAACAAAGACAAGCCTATGAAGAAACAAGCTCTCCTGACCACAAACTTTAACCCACCCACTGGTATGCACATAATTTGGACCATGTGTATGGAGCGATTGCATATCTGGGACACATGTGTTTGTTGTGCAATGCACAATTTAAGCTGAGCTTCATACAGCTGAACAAATAACCATATTTTCGCCTCATGAATAGAAGTTATATTCTAGGCCCGGTTTAGTAGACCATTAAGAGACTAAAACTTTCAGTCATTTTTTTACAGATTTAACCTGCTGTACAAACTCTGACCTTTCTCGACCTTCTCTGATAACAGTTCCACGTGTCGCTCTCGTATGCAGCAGCCGGTGAGTCAGGCAGGGAGTGAGCATTCCGTCTCAGATCAAGTTGGTCTTATCTCAGTAACCAAGGGAGGATAAATCTACACAACATGACCACACTGAAACATTTCTGTCATTCTGGGTTTCTTTAACATCCTCCTTTTATTTGCAATAAGTTGCCTTTTGCCATTAATATATATAGAATGTTTTTTTTGTTTTTTTCACTTTTCAAAAATTAATCCATTTCAACAAAACCTAATTTCTGCTG